TTTTTTTTTTTTTATCCTCACCCGAGGATATTTTTCCATTTTTTGTTCAGATAGAGTGGGAGGGAGAGAGAGGAAGGGAGAGAGAGAGAGAAACATCGATGTGAAGGGACACATCGAGTGGCTGCCACCTGCACGACCAACCAGGGCCGGGGACAAACTGCAACCAAAGTACATGTCCTTAGCGGGAACCGAACCCAGGTCTCTCCGGACCGCAGGCCGACGCTCTAACCGCTGAGCCAAACCGGCCAGGGCGCTACAGTTTTATTGTCTCCATTTTATCACATTTAAAAACTGAGCCTCAGTGAAATGGAAATGACTCGCCTAAGGTCGCCCAGCTGGCAAAGGGACAGGAGTCAGATATCCAACTATAAAGCCAGTAAGGATCGTAGGTAAGCCGAGGCACCTTTAAGAAACGAAGTGGTTTCCCAGGCCAAGGTGGTGGAATGGGGACAACATGAAGGATCATACTGTTAACAGCCGTCATTTCTCGGCTGGAATGGAACTTTCTCAAAGGAACATTCATGTTCTACTCAATATATTTCTGTAATATTTGGATGGTTATAATCAATATATTTTCTTACTTGTGTTTTCCCAAAAATTTCAAATGGTTATTCTTTTTTTTTTTTTTTTTTTATCCTCACCTGAGGACATTTTTTTGTTCAGATAGAGAGGGAGGGAGAGAGAGGAAGAGAGAGAGAGGGAAACATCGATGTGAAAGGGACACATCGAGTGGCTGCCACCCGCACGACCAACCAGGGCTGGGGACAAACTGCAACCAAGGTACATGCCCTTAGCGGGAACCGAACCCGGGTCTCTCGGGACCGCAGGCCGACGCTCTAACCGCTGAGCCAAACCGGCCAGGGCTGGTTATTCTTTTTTTAAAAAAAAAAATCTTTTTTTCTTTATTGATTTTAGAGAGAGGGGAAAGGAGAGGGAGAGAAAGAAACATTGATGAGAGAGAACATCAATTGGCTGCCTCCTGCACACCCCCCACTGGGGATCTAGCCCACAACCTGGGCATGTGTCCTGACCGGGAATCGAACCAGCAACCTCTTGGTGCATGGGTCGATGCTCAACCACTGAGCACACTGGCCAGGCTCAAATGGTTATTCTTTAGACACTAATCCCAAATAACTGCCCATGGTCTGATTTCAACCTCACCCAGCTACCTTTCTGATTTTTTTGTTTCAGATAGGAAGAGGAGGCACTGGCCAAGCTGAATTCACGGTATTTTCCACCTGGGTTTCTATTTCTCGTATAAATGAACGCAGCTCAACAAATGTTTTCTCCTCCCGTCGCCAGTCCTCACGAGGGCCTAGCAAACAGAAAGGGGCATTCTCCAGTGCCAGTCAAAGCCCAGGTAAGAAACGGTCTCTTTTCGCCCAGGAACACCCAGGCATTAGCTCGCTCTTGGCCGTGTACAGGCTGGTTGTCTGGTCGATGTTTGACCCTGGGTCAGACAGCAAGTAAAGGTTTCTTCATCTATTGCTGTGCTACTGTTTCCCTTGCAAGGGACAGCTGATACCGGCTCAAGAAAAAAAAAAAAGGGTGGATTTTAGAGTTTACTATAACTAAAAAAATCAAAGATAGAGCTCTGACTTCAGGCATGGCTGGATCTAGGCATTCAAACAATGTCATCAGGCCGTTTTCTCAGTGTGTGTGTGTGTGTGCGTGCGCTGACCTTACTCTTAGGCCGTTTCTTTGCACACAGTGGTCCCGGCAGTTCCAGAGTACCACCTTCTGGTTTGGAAATCAGGCAGAGACATTCTCAGTAGTTCCAACAGAAGTCTCAGAATTGAATCTTTTTTTTTTTTTAATCCTTACCCAAGGATATGTTTCCATTTATCTTCAGATAGAGTGGGAGGAAGAGAAACATCAATGTGAGAGAGACACATCGACTGATTGCCTCCCACACAACCCCAACCAGGACCAAGGGCCAAACTGCAACTGAGGTATGTGCCCTTGACCGGAATCGAACCCAAGACTCTTTGGTCCACCGAGGGCCAATGTTCTAACCGCTGAGCAACCCGGCCCGGGCCCAGAATCGAATATTATTGACTTGGCTTAGGTCAGATGCCTATGTCTGAACCCACTGCTGCAGCCGCAGGGCGGGTACCCTGATTGGTCTGCCCTGACTCCATCACCTCCCCTTCCACAGAGCTGGGAACCACACAGAACAGGAGTGGGGAGCAGTGGTTGCCCAAAGGGAACACAGGCCACTGCAGAGGTGAGACAGGCCAGTAAGCCAGGACAAGTGGAACAGGGAAACTGGGACAGACAGCTGAACAAATTGACAGAGCAATTTACAGCCAGATACAGAAGGTCACCTCCCTAGAGATAACGTCTAGGCCTCGGTCATATTTCAGATCCAGGCTCAGACAAGCCACAAAACCAGGTGGGCAACGCTAGGACCAGCTGCAGTAACTAACAACCCCCTGCCCTGGCACTGACCAATGAGTGGAGACCATGACCCTGAAAGAGCACACCTGGAAAACTGATGAATATTCGGCTGAAACCTTCCCCTGAGAACTCCCCTAAGATTCCCCAGCTTGCCAGAGAGAGATAAAAACCCTCAAGACAAAGGACCCAGGACCGGTGCGCTTTCTCTCCCAGGAGCATGCCTGCACCTTCTCCTTCCCTTTCTTCTTCCCCCACAGGCACATATCCCCTAAACTCTAGGGGTCCCCACAAGACTTGCAACCAGGGGAGAAAGGGGCAGCGGCAGCGTGTCCCAGGCTAACCCCCTGAACCTGTCTCTAAGGCTTCATTTTCTCTGACTTCCCAATGAGCCAAAGTAGCCCAGCCTGGGCTCTCCTGTTGCTTCTTCTATGCTAAGCCCTTCCTTGTTTCACTGTCCCCAGCTTTAATAAACATGCCCTAAAAGTCACCTGGACTTGTGTTGTGAAACCTCTCCTACGCAAAGTCAAGAACCCACACACTACCGGCTGGCCCGAGGCAGACCCACTCAGGGCCAGGTCCCATGTCCGGTAACAGAAAGAAAAATGACTTGGCTGGTGTGGCTCAGTGGTTGAGCATCGACCCATGCACCAAGAGGTCGCCGGTTCGATTCCCGGTCAGGGCACATGCCCAGGTTGTGGGCCTGATCTCCAGTGAAGGCATGCAGGAGGCGGCCAATTAATGTTCTCTCTCATCAATGTTTCTCTCTCTCTCTCTCCCTCTCTCTCTCTCTCTCCCTTCCTTTCTCTCCACAATCAATAAAGAAAAAGAGCCCTGGCCGGTTTGGCTCAGCGGTTAGAGCGTCGGCCTGCGGTCCTGAGAGAACCGGGTTCGGTTCCCGCTAAGGGCACGTACCTCGGCTGCAATTTGTCCCCGGCCTTGGTCGGTCGTGCGGGTGGCAGCCACTCGATGTGTCCCTTTCACATCGATGTTTCTCTCCCTCTCTCTGTTCCTCTCTCTCCCTCCCACTCTACCTGAACAAAAAAAAAAACAAAAAAAGAAAAAGAAAGAAAGAAAAATGGATGCTTGGCATGGGGACAAAACAGATGCCCAGCGGGCGATCTCAGACCCCCTTCAGCTTGATCTGGGGGGGAAACAGAATGGAAAGAAATAACTGACTGTCAAACAGGCTGAGGAGAAGAGATGCCATGGTAGGGGTGGGAGAGGGGTGGGAAATTAGATTTCAGAGACAGAGGGCCCAGGGGAGGGTGACGCAAGAGGGGACTGCCTGCCCCTTGGGGTGGGGAAAAGGCTGGGTCAGAAGAGCTCTCTGTGGCTCTCAGCAGGTGACCCGAGCAGCGAAGGATCACTCTGCAAGTCCTTCTGGATCTGGCGGGCCTGAGGGAGGCAGTTGCCTGTGGGAGTGGATGATGCCACCCCACGCCCTCTGACGTTTTCTTAGTGGCTATGCTGCAGGTATCTGCCAGTCCCGCGGGAGTCCTATTGGCTTGAGTCACCTTCTTGGAAGCTAATTGCCTCCACATAAATGGATGAGGTTGAATTCCTGGACACATGAGGCTGGGAGCCCGACTTTGGACGCTAATAGACTCCTGCCCCATGGAAGGCCCCTTGGCGGGCAGCCAGCAGGCCTGCCCTGACCCCAGCCTGCCTTTGCCTCCAGGCCCCCAGTGCCTCCTTACAGCACTGGGCCTGGACTCCAGGGGGCCGCAGGCAGGACCCTGGACGGGCTTCCTCAGAGGGGGCCAAATAAATGGCAGCTGTTCTTAGTACTATTGGGTGTGCGATGTGCCCAGCACACAACTGATGGTACCTATCACTGGGCATGTGAAGGGCACAACTGGGCGCCGATGAGATGCTTGGGAATCAGTAGCTGGAAATAGACTGTTCCGCTGGGCTTCCCCCACCCTTCCTACTCAGATACGGTCCCATCTCTCTTTTTCATGGGCCACCTGCTCACAAATGTGTCCAAAGCACAGGCAAACTCTCCCTCCCCGCCCCCATCCTGACATCCAAGAGGTTTTGTCTGAGACTGCCTATGGCAGTGTTTCTCAAAGCGGGTCCCCCGGTCCACCTGTGTTAGAATGACAATGTTTGTCAACCTGCAGATTCTTAGGTCCACCCAGACCTGCTGGATCTGTCTGCTCGGGGTCTGGGGGCTAGAGATTTGCTCCAGGGGTGGCCTGGTGGTGGTGGGAACCCCGATGTATCCCAAAGCTCACAGAGCCCAGGTCCTGGGTGCTGAGGTCCTGCGGGCATTCCCGGAGGCACAGGGAAGTTCTGATTCCCTAATAGGCCCTGCCCACTTTGGCCTTTCTATCAGATAATTCAAAGTCTCCAGGCCTGCTAGTTACTGATTAACTCTAGAAAAGAAATAATAATGACGACAGGACGACACCAGCCCAGAGACAAGCTGAGCAGCCCTGGGAGAGCAGTTCCAGACGGCTGTTGTCACCAGCATCTCCCAAGAAGAAAACGGAGGCTTGATACGCCTCGCCTAAGGTCGGACTACGTCTAGGTCCCAGCAGCACCTTGCCCATGCCCAGGCCCTGAGCTGCCACGTCCCGCTGGCTGCTGTGCCCAGAATGGCCTGCCCTGAGGTCCCACAGGCGCCAGCCCCGCACCAGCCCCAGCCCGTCTCGGCGGGAACCACCGGTGCCGCTGCAGGCCCTGCCGGGGGTCATCACGGCTCCGAGGATCGTGACCTGGAGTGCCTGGTGTGCCGGGAGCCCTACAGCTATGTCCGACTTCCCAAGCTGCTAGGCTGCCAGCATGCCTTCTGTCCTGTCTGCCTGAAGCTCCTGCTGTGCATGCAGAACGACACCTGGTCCATCACCTGCCCGCTGTGCCGCACGGCCACCGCCGTCCCCGGGGGCCTCATCAGCAGCCTGCGTGACCAGGAGGCCGTGGTGGGGCGACTAGCCCGGCCATGCCCAGAGGTGTGGCTCTGTCCTCAGGAGCTGGTGAATCCTGCCACCTTGACAGCAGGGCACCCCAGCTTGGCGGGAGAGGATGGGCAGGATGTGGCGAGTGCCAACCGCGCGGCAGCCCGGCGCCTGGTGGCACACCTGCTCCTGCTGGCCTTGCTCATCGTCCTCATCCTGCCCTTCATCTACCCTGGCATCATGCAGTGGGCACTCACCTTAATCACCGCCCTGGCGCTGCTGATGTCCATCCTCTTCTGCTGTCACCCCCACAGCCAGGGCAGCTGCTGGCCCTGCCCCAGGACTCTCTTCTGCAGAGAGGAGAAACCCAGCGAGATCTCTTCCGTGGCCTGAGTGCACCCCAACCAGGCACCCACAGCACCGCCTGCCTCTGCGGCTCCATCATTCTCACAATGGACAGGGTAAGGGGCTATGAAGCAGGGCCGCTCCTGCAGATGAAATGCCAGCCAGACTTGCAATCTAAAGCCGGAACGGCTGTCTCGGGTCCAGGACTATGTGCTTGGACGACAGGCCGGCCTGCCCCAGGTTCGGCACAGCTGGACTGGAGTGGGGCAGAGGCACGGATGACTGGAATGCTACAAGGGGCCCTTCTGTTCCTCTTATGCCAAAGCTCCGGGTTTTTCCTTCTATACCTTGACGGAAGTATTTGCAATATTGACGTACTTGAAGAACAAATAGAACCAGACTCCTCTTTTATCGTTTCGTGATTTCCGTAGCTGGCTTTATTTTATTGCTTGGTTTGGGATTGGGGTTTTGTGTTTGGGGCAGTGTGTGCCTATTTCTGGCTGCTGCACATTTTCCCTCCTGGGAAGTCAGAGCCCACAGGGAGTCTGTGCTCACCCCGCCTTGGTAAAGGCCCCAGCAATTTGGCTATTCCACTGAGTCACCCCGTCCTCCTTCCCCTCGAGAATTAAAGGAGAGAACTGTGCGAGGAGGGGGTGCTTCTGGTGCTCCTGGGGAGCCCCCATATTTAGTTAGCAGAGCTGAGGAGGGTGGAGGGGATGTGAATGGATCTGGAAATTTCCCCCAGCACCCCCACCTGGATTTCCCAGCTCCGTGTCATCAGGCCCTGACTTAACAGAGAATCCTGGGGTTCAAGGGCTTCCCCCTTACGCTAGCCCAGCTGCCCACCTGATGCACTGTCCCGCACTCCAGAACCAACTCTTATGGGGGCTGCTTTCTCTATTATTACATCTCGCTTTCCATTTGAGCTTTAGTCACAAAGGTAAGAGGCCTTGTAAATGCAATGGTCCTCTCCAAAAAGCCCCCACATTTCCCGTCTCGCCCCAAGAGTTACAGTCATCTAAAAGGTTTTTGTGTCTTTACTGTGTCATTTCTGCTCCATAACATAGGGGAGGCTACTGCTGGAGGGAATGACCTTCTGTGGCCATCCAGGTCAAGCCTCAGCCGGGGGGGACCCATGCGGTGCAGGGGGGCAGAGGGTGAGAGATGACACGTTATTTGCTTCCAAAGGCCACAACTGAAAAGCAGACTTGAAACCTCAGAGGGGCTCCCCGAGCACAATCCATTGTCCTGTCCTGCCTCCCCCTCTTCCTCCTGGAGACTTGGTCCAGTGACTGTAGCTTTATCAGGGAGCAGGGCGAGAACTCTGCCACTGGAGCCCAGGGGTCGCCCTGTGTTGTCGAACAAGGGGTCTTGCCTCCCAGAGCTTCATTTTCCCCGAAACGAGCTGGTAGAACTGGAATCTCCCTAACACCCCTGCAGCCAGGAGCTAAGGGCACTGCTGAGCCCCTGAACAATGGATATGTGTGGGTCACATCTCCTGTGGCCTCACAAAGAAAAGTCAAAATGTAAGTATGGATGCAATTAGCTGTTCCCGAAATGGGGGTAACTCCGTGACACCCATGCTGTTGGCCTCATTGAGCTCTGGTGCTGAGCAAGAATGTGTAAGTGGGCGTGGGTATGTGTTGCCCACACCGTTAAGCCAAGGCCAGTGGGCCTGAAGAACACCCTGTCTCCCCAGGATGAGTAAATGACAAGAATTGTTTTGCATTTCCTGAGCGGGCCTTGGGCATGTGGGTTTTGGGATGGCTGCCAATAGGGTAGACAAAGAACGTGCTCTTCCCACTCCCCACCACTCCCATTCCATCTAGTCCTGGATCCTCCACCAACAAGAAAACCTTCTTCAAGATTTCAGTTGTTAATGACAACACCATTTCTACCATAATAATAATAATAATGGTGGGTGCATGTTTATTGAGTGCTTACTATGTGCCGAGCCCTGCACAACTGCTTTATATGCATTATCTAGCTGAATCGTCTGACAAGTAGCTGAATCGACCTACACAAGTAGAGATCATGCGCTGATGAGGAGACTGAGGATCAGAGTTGTAAATTCATCTGCCTCAGGTTGCACAGCGGCCACTTTCAGAGCTCCTTCTGCTCCACCACGCTGCATCCTTTGCGTGCAGGTCCAAAACAACCAGGAAGCTGGTCGCCACGTGTGGGCTTGCGAGCGAGAACAGAAAACTAAGCGCAGGAACCTCCAGAGAGGCCAGAGAATTCCAGCGCTCATCCAGTGCTCCTGGATGAGAATCCTGTTGGGTTGCCTTCATCGTCAACCCTGTTGGGTTGCCTTCATCGTCAATCCTGTTGGGTTGCCTTCATCATCAATCCTAATGGGTTGCCTTTATCATCAATCATTGACCCTTTGGGTGAATGGGTTTCTGCAGGCCTGTTCAGTGTGACAGTGAGCAGGGGGCTGGCCTTGATGATGGGGTGGAGAAGCCAGTGCAAAGTGGGAGCATTGTTCAGGACTGCCAATCTGGTGGAGAACTTTGTGCTTAGGTCCTAACAGGAGGTCCAAAGGATGAAGAATTGGGGCGGGGTGTGTGTGTGTGTGTGTGTGCACTCGCGTGCAAATTTCATCTCCATCAGACCCATCTCCCTAATCTGTGGCCTTGGAGTCAAACATACCTGGCTTAAATTCTAGCTTCACCACTGACAAGTCACCTCACCTGTCTGAGTCTCAGGTTCTTTGCCCATGAAACAGAGCTTATAATCCACATTTCACAGGGTTGCTGAAGGAATTAACAAAGTAACCCATGGCTGAGCACTCAGGGCCAAAAGGAGATAAAGCAGAGAAATAAAAAGACAAGGAGAGAGAGATGGGTTGAGTTCTAGAAAGCCCTAACAAGAACGATGAGGACAGATGTCTACTATTTTATTCAATCTTATTGATAAGGACATTTATTAAAACCTGACCACTAGAATTCACCTCCCTACAATCAGCTTCGGCATCATCAGTGACTTCAACAAAATATAATGAAACAATAATTGCTAACATAATCTGAATGCACTGTGCAAAGTATATTACATATGTTATCACAAATGCTATAAAGCAGGTGCTATTATTACCCTCAATTTACAAACAGGGATGCTGAGGCACAGAGAGGTTAAGCAATATGCTGGAGATCATATAGCCAAGGGTAGACCGCAGAAGTCCAACTCCAAAGCAGTCACTTTGCTGTATCAGAAGGAACATTTCCGGCACACCGTAAGTGCTCCAGGTTTGTGGCCCCCTGGCCTGGAGGACAAAGAGTTAAGAGATGGCATTCCGGCATTTGGTTATAGCTTCCTGACTTAGTAGGAGCCTGGGGCACACAGTTGTGGGAGCCTACCTGTCCCCTGTCACCTTCCAGCTCCTGTTCATTGTGGGAACCTCTTTGCAAATGACTGGAAGATGTTTTTCAGCCTTTGCTAGAACAATTAATCCTTTGTGGCAAAAGAACGCCTCTCCGGGAAGGAACGACATCTCTGCAATTGCTCTGGCTATGGGGACAGCGTAGAGCACATTCGAGGGAAATCAGATCTCTGCTTTTGAAACTGCCTGGGGCTATTCTTGTGAACTTTATATTCTTGTCAGAAGATCTGAAGATCACTATTTTAAAAGGAGAAATATTTCTTGGGTCAGTAGAGAACTCTGAACAATTCAGAACAATATGAAATCTTGGATCCACCCATGCATTTATTTATTCAACAAATATGGATTGAGCATCTGCTCTGTTCCAAGTAGTGAGCAGGGTAGTTAATCCTATTTGATAAGGAACTTGGATGAGGAAAGAAAACTAATGTGTGCAAAGCGCCTGCTATGGGTTGAACTGTGTCCCCTCTCCCCAGAAGAAGATGGGTCGAAGCCCTAACCCCCACCACCTCAGCAAGTGATCTCATTTGGAAGTAGGGTGTTAACTGAGATATTCAAGTCAAAATGAAGTCACTAGGGTGGGCCCTAAAACAATATGATCGGTGTCCCTATCAAAAGGGGAAATTTGGATCCAGAGGCAGACACACATGGAGGGAAGACAATGTGAAGACACACAGGGAGGACGCCACGTGAGACAAAGGCAGAGACCAGGCTGATGCAGCCGAAGCCAAGGAGCCAACAGTGGCCGGCAAAGCAGCCGGAGCGGGAGAGGCGTGGCATAGAGGGTCCCACCGAGTTCTCAGCAGGAACCGACCTGCTGACACCTTGATCTCGGACTTCTGGCCTCCAGAACTGTGTGAGCCAACACATTGCTGTTGTTTAAGAAACAAGGTGTGGTGGCACCCTGGATGGCAGCCCTAGGAAAGCAGCACAGCACCTCGCCTGAACCCGTGATTGCACCATGCCCCTCCGCTGGGCTGTTTCGGTTCAGCCGAAGAACTTGCCTTGTAGCATGGCCGTGGCAATGTCGGGCTCAGAATCAGGTCTGATGAACTCTCAAGTTAGATCTTACTTCTCTCATGTTGTTGATGGGAGGCCGAGGTTCAGAGAAGCTCTGATAGTCCCCTCCCCCATACATCAGAGATGGAGTTGGAATCAGAACCCACAGTTTCTAAATCGTCTTTTTTTTTTTTCTTTATTAATTTCAGAGAAAGAGGTAGACACGTTGATGAAAGAGAACATGGATTGGCTGCCTCCTGCATGCTCCCCCTGGGGATTGGGCCCACAACCTGGGCATGTGCCCTGACTCAGGAATCGAACTGGTGACCTCTTGGTGCATGGGTCAACGCTCAACCACTGAGCCACACTGGCCGGGCCCTAAATCATCTTTCATCTTTGCAACAACTATATGAAAGTTACTGAATTGTTACCCCTGTATCACAAATTAAAGAGTTAAAACCCAAGGAATTAAGGCACTGACTTGACCTAGGTCACAAGCAAGTGAATGAGGTACCAGAATTGGACCGACTGACTCCAAAGCTATCTCTGCACTTCCCACTGCCCCACACTGCTTGTCTGTAGCCTACCTGCACGGAGAGGAAGGCGAGCGTGTCTCCAGGATGCCTAACACCCGCCCTAAGAGTCTGTTTGCCCAGAGAGGATAAAATTA